TCTGTGATGACAGATATACTGTTTCAGTTGATAATATATGCATTGTTGTCATTTTAAAATGCTTACTGTACATTCTGTTCCTGTTTATTGCTGCCAGGATTTATTTTGGTCCTGCAGTATTCCTCATGTCATCTGTGTGTGCAGTGGAGATAAACCCATTAATCATTCCATTTTAATGGGCCCATGCTACCACTTAGGCGACTACTGTATTTTGCTCACTCTAAGAGACACAATTTCTTACCCATGGTTGTTTACTCCCCCACACATGCGGCACATTCCATTGTTGTTGTGCTCATGCAAGTCAGATGAAGGCCATGCTTCATTCTGTCAGCAAACGCAGAGAGAATGAGAGACTGGCATTCATTCATAACAGTGAAGTGGGTGGTGGTGGTGATGGTGGTGGTGTTGGTGGTGGTGGGGGGGGTGCAGGGAAGCCTTGTCAGGAAGGAGATGTCATGTTACCCAGTAATGACTATGTTGGTTAGAGAGCATCTCTGACAACACCAGTGGGCCAGTAATTACAACCAATTCCCACTGCAAACCGCGTCAAAGACTTTGCACTCCTCTAACAAACGCGGCTGTCAGCAGAGCAGGCTGCCACCGAGGTGACAGCCATGTGTCGACAGGCCTGGAGAGCTCGCCTTTGTACCATCTACAGCAGCAATTAGCAGGTCATTGTGTTAGCATACAAGCGGCACTGTAGAATTAGTCGAATTGTCCGGATTTATTCAGCAGCTCACATGACACAGGTCTCGAAGATTAGCTCTACACTTCCACATACATCTGTGTTTTTTTTTTCCACCATCCCCCGTCACAGAAAGCGTTGAATATTCTCTTTATTCTCTCTGCATTCATCACCACTCAACAACCCCTCATATAGGCTAATATACTGTCTTTTTTTTTTTTCTTGTCAGGCACATGCAGGGAGGCTCCCTTCCTCCTCAGGCTCCAGCTCCTCCAGTGGGCTACGTGTCGAGCACAATGGTTTCCGACCTGGAGACTGACCTGCCTGATGATGAGGAGGAGGAGGATGATGAGGAGGAGGATGAAGGCTACGGAGCCAGGCATCCCCGCGGTATTGAGCACACACCAGGGTCTAGCATGGACAACCTGGACAGCTCTTTAACAGGTGAGGTGGCTGATTCCCAGCGGGCTCAGGTGCTTCTTTGTTAAACATAATTTTGTTTTTTATTCATTTTATTTTGTTCTAATCGCCGGTGAAAATGTATTCATGTCCCACATTGTCATTACGTCTTGTTTTACAGTAAATCGCGACACGTCCTCCGCGAGTTTGCTATGTGTTAATTTTTCTGTGAACATGCCGAGTGCCCCTCAATCAAGTTTTTTAAAGCACTTTTGGCCGACTCTGGGGAATTCTAATTATCATTTCCGAAAAAGAGATAAGAAAGTCCATGAATTTTAAACAGGATAGTGAGAGGGAAATTAAGAGGAGGGAGAGGCAGGGGAGAATGACTGTGATTTAACTCGCACACAGCTCCAGAGCCAGCGCCACCCATATCTTCCTGAGGAGATTTGAAATAAATTTCACGTGCGGCATATTCTATTTCAGACTAGAGGCACCATTTCCATTTTTACAACTCACTGAAAACTTTTACAGCCGTCTGTTAGGGGGGGACATATGAAGGTTATGACATTGCAGCGGCAGGGCTGGGTTCTGGACTGCTGCTCTCATACTGACCAGGCTTCAGCATCCGTCTGCAATCTGGAGGACAGAGCTGAAGAAAAATCTCAGTGAAAAATGTGTGACGTTTTAGAACGGGCTTAATAGAAAAATGCTGGTGTTGTGTCTTTTTCTGTGAATGCTGAGAAATAAAAATCCATACTGGTACATTCAGGGGTGGAAAGAAATGAGGAAAGTGTCGAAAATAGGAGGAGCCGAGGCAGTCGAGAGAGAAAGCATGAGAGCAAGAGGACTGACAGTGCTGCTTCTGTCAGAGGCAGCCTTAAAGAGTAGTTTTCCATGGGATGATGGAACAGTGGTTTTGGTAGCGCTGACACATGCTGCTGCTGATGTATTTAGAGGAATATAAAGCAGCAACTGGGCCCTAATCTACTGCATCTCTCCTCCACTGTATTACTCTGAAGACAGCACTATTTCTTTTTATCTCTCTGCAAGTCTGCCTCTCACCCCATCGTTTGACAACACAGACATGGTCCCAGCTCCAGGGTTAGTGGGAGGAAGAGAGGGAAGATAGTGGAAACCGCCGAGATTTATTGTTCCCACCATTTTGGGGCTATACAAATAGGGGAGGGAAGGAGCGAGATTCCTGTCAAGCGCCGCTTGATAGATTTGTCATTGTTTTAATAATATGGAAATAGGTCGGTTTTCATAATGTTACACCAAAGAGCAGTAAATCAAACATTTTCAGTGATGTCCCCGAAAAAAAAAAAACAGCCTTCTCCTCGGGGGCCATTTTTCAGCAGCAGATTGTCTGCACAGGCTTTCCACTGCGTTATTCTATGCTCCGAGTTAATGCAACATATTTTTAGCTGATAAATGTAAGTCCTCATGTTGTGGTGGGTATTGCAGTGCCATTTCGTGCTTGAGCCAGAGAGATGAAGTGAACACATAGGTATTACTCGGTATTACTTGGCTTTGTATAAATCGTACAAAGCTGAGATGTGGTAGCAGTGAGGCTGTTACGCCTACAATGAGCTGAAAGCTTGGCTGTTCTGGGCGATTACTCTCCCATAAAGCCTTGCCAGTTTTGTGAGGAGCAGGGTCACGTCTCCTGACGGCAGGTAGAGACGCCCGCTCGTCAGGGGGAATGATTTTCCCACTTAACGACATGCAGATTAGGGTTTCCTTCAGTATAAATCAGTTTTAGTGGCAGGAGGGACCTAGCCTGGGTTTTACTGCCCCCCAACCTTCCAGCGTTTACTGGCCGTGCTCTATCAGTGCGTGGAGCATGGGAGGTGTCCGCCAGTGTTTTTTAGAGAACATGGTTTGGCCCATTGCTCTGGTTCAAGACATGATAAAAATGAGAGTTGCGTAGTGCAAACCTTGGTCTGGAGCCACGGCACAAAGGAATTATATTTCTAGGGCAACAAGAAAAGTAGATTGAATTTTTATCAAATTATGTTACAATGATCACAGTTTGATTGGACTGCTGTTTCTGAGAATAGAAGTGCTCCAGAGGTTCTGCAGTAGAAAGTGGCAGTTAGTGCAACTGAAAAGTCATTCTGTGATGTGATTTGCTGAGGCAGTGTTCCTTTGCTGAGCCGGAGGACTTGGAAGCTTCAGTGCTTTGGCTGGCACTGCCTATACTTCATTATCTGCTCTATTCTTTGTGGGAGGATTGGACCCAGTGGAATTGCTGTCTTTCTTTCTTACAGAAAAACTCTTAGAAAAGAATTTCAAAGAAAATAGCCAGGAAAGATGGAGGGCTCGAAAGTAGTTACTGCCTTGGATTTCAGTTAGCGCTGTAAAAATGGGTTGTGTAAGGGGGGTACTCTACCTTATGCAAGCCTATATTTTATACAAGTTTCCATTAATCTGAGAGAATTTTCCTGCAATAGGAGTGAAAAGCTGTTGCAACTTCTGCTGTAGAAGGTGCAATTCCCTGTAGTCACATCCAGTGACTAAGTAACCGCCTCTCTTAGAGACGAAAAAGACGGAGAAACTCACAGATGGGGAAGTTGGAAAACTCTTTGAAGGGGATTTCCCAGCATGTCTGGATAAATAAACCACCGCCGTATTACCAAGTTTCATGTCCAATTTTAAATGTGTCCTATTGTACTGCAAAGGGAAGCGCCAACTTGATATTCCAAACTCTGCATCTGATTTGTGCGCGGGTTCATTTGCATCTCAATCTGCAGCCGCCCTGGCCCGGATTGTGCCACCTTTTTGTATCACAGTGACCTTTTAATAAATCCTGCTGCTAACTTTTTGTCCCCATCGCTCTCTCAACAACCTTTACCCTCACACCTCCCCACTTCTCTGTTACGCCAGTCTGTTCAATCACATCACTCGGTGTGAGCGAGAGATAGAGTGTGTGAGCCGAGCGCTTGGGTTCATGCCACTTTAGCAAAGTCTGCCAAACCAGTCCCACTGAAAGCTGTCACATTAGCCGACTGTTCTCCGTGTTTTTGCCTGCCAAAGTGGCATATTTTTATTGGCAGACGGATACTTTTATATTTAAAGTGCTGGGATAGCATTTTATGTGAAGGGAAAAAATCAAAGCATAAAGAAATACAGTAGCGTAGAAGCCAAACGTCGAACAATACATACACATCGTTCTCGTGTGTGCACTCCTGTCAAATACTCAATTATGTTTCGGCGTTCGTATCATGTTAAGCAGGATATTAAATAAATCTGTTATCATTTCACCGTCTTTACAGCTGTAAAGTAACATGCTACATGAATAGATGTGTTTAAAACTACACTAGCCATAAGTGAGATGCCTCGAATTTGTATTCTGTTTGTTTTTTCTGAAAGTTATTGCAGCTTTTTAGACAGTGGTGGCTGTGTATTTTTAAACAGGAATAATAATCATAAGAAAGTGTATGTGCATACCACCAGGTGTTTGATTCAATACACTGTTTTGTGAGATGTCACCTGAGGCAGTTTTGTAGCTAACTCTGCTCTGCACAGGTGCGCTCATTGTTCTTTATCAAAAGAAGAGCAAAATCAGTTGATGACAGTCCTGCTGTTCCACTGTGTACATTCCTGTGTGTTTGTGTGCATTTTTGTGTGTGTGTGTGTGTGTGTGCAGTTTATGTGTTTGTAATAGATGAAAGAGGGCAGGCCAGAACAGAATGACTACACAAAAGCACTCACCTGCAAGAACAGAAATGCCCTGCGGCAAATACGAAATCATTTAAGTGTAGGACATTAATATTACCTCCTTTTTATAAGATCACTCGATACCTCCATCCATCTTAATACAAAATCTCGGCGCAGATGTTCATAATGTCAGATCATATATCCATAAAGGTTATAGCCACTGAGCTCAAAAGTATGAACAGGATGTGGTTGAATTTGAGTGTTTCGAGAAAAAAATCATTTCACAAACATGTGCATTTGCTGAACGCTGTGGTGTTCCACAGGGTCCATGGTGAATGGGTGGGGCTCAGCCTCGGAGGATGACCGTAATTTCTCCAGCCATAGGTCCAGTCTGGGCAGTTCGTCCGACGGCTCCATCTTTACCCACTGCAGCTTTGCTCAGGCCCTGGTGGCCGCTGCAGACAAAGCAGGCTACCGCCTTGAGGGCACAAGCCTCAGCAAGAGAGGTTGGTGTGTGGGGACCAGACACCCACCGCTGGACTGGAACTTCCGCCAGTGGCAGATGATTTGCTCCTTTCTGCTCTAAATGTTCCTTCTGCCATCCTTTGGCTGACGTTTGCTGTCTTGCAGTTTCCTCGCTGCTGCTTGTGGCTGCTCTGCCCAGGTTGTGCATGGTACCTGTTGTACATGGCTACACCGTGGACGTCTCTTTATCCGTAACTTTTACTCAGCTCCTCTGTAACTCTTTTGCCGTTGCACTCCAGCTTTCTTGGGTTAATCATGTAATAATTGGGTGATATTTTACACTTGCAACCTTTTACAGACTTCTACCAGGGTGCTTTTCCCTTCTAATGACAACCTTTCCCTTTGTTTTCTAATAGGTTTTTGGATCTTGATTGATTACCTATATTTTTCTCAATGGCAGTCTCAGCTTCACTGTCTGGCTCTGTGTTGGCCCTTTTATGTCTTTATTAACCAGCTGGCTTGTGGTCCTGTTTCCCTCCTACAGGTAAAGGCTTGTCCCACAGGCCCCGGCCCAGCAGTCCATTTTCAACAGATGGCAGCACAGTCGGCACACACAGTTTGGGCCACCAGAGGGCCACCAGACCCACACGCAAACCCCGAAGTCAGGGCACAACACCCCACCGGAGAGACGCTGGTGCAGATGGTGAGGAAGCAACTGAGGACACAGTTTTAAGAGTTTAAGATAAAAGTTTCCTCAAACATGTGTTTGTTGATTTAAAGAAAATGAGATATATGAATATGAATGTCCAGTTTGCACAGCATTACATTTTCAAAGCACTTTCTGCATCCAGTTGATTGATTTTGGGTTTCTCTCGTCTCAGACCTACCTCCTCCCCCTGAGCCTCCTCCCTGTCAGGGGCAGGGCCGTATCCAGGGGGCCCGCAGCGTAAGCAGCATGGTCCCCCCCACAGATAGGAAGGCTTCTTCTCTGGAGCGCCCGCCTATGTCAGGACCCCTGTGTGGGCCGGACGACATGAAGAGCTCCATCGACAGGCAGACGCGCACCTCTCTGGATCATCATCGCCAGGCTCAAGAGAGGCTGGGCTCCATGGACCGAGCCGATGACGCGCGCCGGGGACACAAAACAGGTACGCATGAAACAAAACTAAAGTCTGCAGCCATGTAAACAGTCCGGCAAAGCTGCACTGCTAACATGTGAGTTACCGTGCTTACAATTGCACTGATTACAGAATGAACACGTCAACAACTGCAGTTCTTGCACTATTTCAGCATTAGGCTGAAAGTCAGCTGAGGTTACTGCAGTACTGTGCATGTTTTCATGAACTGAAGTATTAGAGAAGTGGAAATCTGGAAATGCTCGAGATGGAGGACGATAAGTCATCGCCAATTTTATTTAATTCATTGTTTGGTAATCCATCCAAAGGTTGTCAAGACAATGTAATCTATACCAAATGTTGGAACAGAGAAATGCATGGAAGGACTCACATTACCATCAGAGCCATGTTGCTAGTGTGTTTACAAAAGGTTCAGGGAAGCCAAACACATTTTTGAGGATTATGCACTCCAGACTGCATAAGCACTCACCTTAATTACTTCTAAGCATGTAGGACAAACCAAGGTAGGTGTAATAAATCAAAAATATCTGTAAAAAATAATCAGACTTATATCCAATGATTCATCACAAAAGAAATAAAACATCCAGGCTACATATTTTGAGCAAGTGAAATCAGATGTGAAGTGGGACATTTCTTGTTCCTGACTGATGTGTTTAGTTTATTAAAGAGATAATTCATTGTTGCATCGCACTAGAAAACAGCAAGGACATAGGAGTTAAGGTGCTGCTGGGCCTTGGCGGGTGGGGGGGGGATTTTTCTCGAAGTTCTCGTGTTGAAGTTAGCTTTCATGCTGCTCTGAGACTGGGCTCCCATGAACAGATTGCACCGTCTGCCACTTGCTCTGGTTTCCAGAATGCCCCCCTCAGCCCTCCCTCAGCCTCCCCATTGCCCCTGTAACTGTTGCCAGTATTGGTCTGCTCCGCTCCAAGTAAGGCAGGAGGCCCCGGCAACTGAAATGCACTCTAATCGCTGCAGCTTTCTCTTCTCACACAAACAGCAGCCACTCTACACCCCATCTGTGTGTCTGTGCTCGCGTGCATGTGTGTTTGTGACCGTTAGAGCTCACCATGCTGCGCTCCCTGGCCTCTTTGTGCCAGGACTTTCTCAGACAGTTAATCTGAGGCTGTGAGACAAAGACAGGTGCCACAATCAGCATCGTTACAAAAAACCCTGTAGGTGAATTCCCATATGTGTCAGAGCGCTGACTGATTCACAGTAGAATCCGCTGAGGTCGGGGCAGGCTCTATTACAGTCATTAGCGGAGCAGTGGGGAGCGGTTTGATGAGATTTCACGCAATGACGGAGACTGCTGAGGGTCAATGTTATGCTGCCCTGCAGCAGGGGGTGCCACAGCAGCCAGTGGTCCCTCTGTTATTGTATTTACGCCCCCCATAAGGCTGGTAGCTGCAAGGCCATGTGTGAGGCTGAGAGTCCTCTCTGTGGCACGCCCTGGCATTGCTTGTTGGCACCACCACTCTGCAGATGTCAGGATGAGGAGGGGTTTGCAAAGTGCTCTTTGTCTCCATGCATCAGATGTTAGATGTGTGTCACTGCAATAATGAAAGTCACGTGTCTGCTTTCCAAACTTAAAGTCGTGCGTGTGTTTTTTCAGAGGAAGGGTGCGTGCCGTACAGTAAACCATCGTTCCCCTCTCCTGGTGGCCACAGCTCCTCCGGCACAGCCTCCTCCAAGGGCTCGACAGGGCCACGCAAGAACGAGGGTCCACGACAACCGCAGCAGTGGACCGCCACAGAGCACGCTGAATTCCTGGGGACCAATGGACAAGGACAGTACTCAGGAGAGTTATGTGAGTATTTCAGTGTTTTACAGGAAGGTTTTATGATTTATGGCACACAGAGTGAAAAAAGTCGGATTTTATAGTCCAATAATTCTGACTATAAAATTACCATAGATGTTTCTTGCCAAACAACAGTTTACCCATCCTCCAGTCTTTGTGTGGACACTTAAAGAATTTGTGTAGCTATACCGCCACAATTTTCACAATTTTTAATATGTATATGGAATCAACAGGTACATTAAAAGGTGGTGATAGCTACGTTTTTGTGGTGTGGTGGTCGTTGTTTAAACCAGCTGTCAGCTAAACAGATGACCGGCTGGCCAAAACAGCAACAAAAACACATCTTTAAATAAAGTGTCATTGTCAAGTTTTGAACTGGCTTTTTCATTTACGACCCTCACAAATTCCTTTATTACCTCTGCTTCTCACAGAGTGATCTGCCTGGGGTGTGAACTGGAGAAAACCGGGCCCGTCCTTGGAAGAATAACGCCCTCCTTGTTGGGGCAATGAACTTTGTCCTTACCTGTGTTGTTCTCTGAGAGGAAAGGAGCGCAGCAAAGGAGAACCGCAGAGAAAAGCAGTGTCACAGAACTGTAAATGTGATGTATAGACACAGACATACTGTACATCTCACTATGTTTTCGTCCTCAAGAAAATATTTTCCACCTCCTACCTTACTGTAATTTTCTTTTTGTTAGAAAAACGCAAGTAAAAAAAAAAAACGAAAACATCTATATGAGAACAAATTTTCTGGTAACTGCCCTTGGGGAAAAGGGAATTTTGTTTCCTGTAAATATATTCTTTACCTTGTTGTTGCATTGCTATGCAAGCCTAATTCAGTTTGAGCTTTTTATTTCCATATACAGGAACAGTTGGGTTTTATCTGGTTATTTGTATTATATGTGAATTGAGTGGCTGTTGTGCCATAAAAATAATTGTTTTATAATCCATTGTTTGTTGATAGTTACCATTAATTATTATCATTATTATTATTAATTATTGTTTTTGCACTGCAATTTTTGGTGATAAGCACAAAAACATAGCTCCTGCTGACATGAAGAACCGGAAGAATATGTGAAGAGGAGTTTCTGTACTGTAAAGTAAAGAGAAGAAAATTATATACTAATGTACAGAGAGATATTAAAGAGTAATGCTTTGCTCACAGACGGCAACAAACAAGGCGCCCATTTCCGTAGTCGAGACAAATTGGGTGGCAGGCATGCAAGGTTCCCGAGGGTGTGAAGGGCAGATACGAGGCCGGAGGAATCAGACAGAGGATTATTGCAGGTGAACGAGTTGATTATTTAATTCCTAATTAACTCTCCTACAATAATAGTTTGGTGTCAGAAACAGTTAAAGTGTTTTTGAGCAACTCCAGGCATTGTCTTGTTTTCAGAAAGGGAGTGAGGGAGTGCATTTTCTTCATTTTATACAAGGGCCTCCAAGCATTTCAAGTTAGGTTTTTTTTTTTATGATTTACTGTCTAAATAATTTTACTACACTGAGTTTACGCTCCTCTTTTAGCACACTCACAATAAAACCAGTCAAAAGCGAGGAGGAGTCGGTAAAATCTGTCTGCATGCTGCAGTCCAGTCATAGCACTTACAGAGGCAGATTTGTGATTCTTCCAAGGCCTTAATAGGTAGAAAACACAAACAAAGGAGTATTTGCTGTGATTAGTGGTAATGATACTCCGAAACCTACCTAAAATATCAGTGGAGCAACTTAATTTGTTTACATCTTTTATGATTATTATTATTTTTATTTTTTTTTAGTTCCAACCATTTTTGATATTGTTTGCTTTTTAGAGCACTTACTGTTTTATGTTTGTTAGATTATCTGTGGTACATCCAAGAAAACCCAGTGACCCGTGGGTTCCAGCTAAGTGCTGTTAAATTAGGCGATCTATTGAAGCCGTTGTTGCTGTAAAGGTTGGTGCCTCAGTTACCAATACGCTACGATCAGCACAGTCTCGAGTCAGTAACTTTTAGGGAAAAAAAAAAAGAAAAAAAGAACGACGTGTGTACGATTTACAATGTAGCTTTGAGTCAGAGTGATATCGGAGAAAGGCCTTGTATATTAACTAGCAGGTCCCACTGCCTCCATGTCTACAGCCACAGTGTGGAGCAGAACACTTTCTTATCTCTTATCTGCCTGACTGCCACAAAACACACACACACACACTTATCATCTGCCGCTTTCGACTTCTCAGCCTCTGATTCTCAATTTTTGTCCTTTCAGACGCTGTTTTTATCGGTTGTCCTTTTTTTAAATGAGAAGCTTGTTTCTTTGTATGCCTTTTATGGACTCCAAAACGCTGCTTACAACAATGTTTTCAATATTAATGTTCAGGATTTTTGTGGTTCAATGACTGTTTGTTTTGTCCTTTTTTGTACTGCTAATGTTGATAAAAAGGGGGGGTGGGAAACTAAAGGCCATCAGATGCTGTTGTACTGTTGTCGTCATGCCATCGTCATTTTTTTAACCATCCACCCAGTGGCCAGTGTTCTGGAAATGAGGTGCAAAGAGTATCTCAGGTTATTTTACATTCTGGTGGTGTTTATGTGTGTGTATATATGTGTATATATCCATACGCATCTCCACTTGATTATGCCATTCCATTTTCATTGACAAAATTATCCCTCTCATGTCCGATTCTGTCGTCCCCTCTTTTTCTTTTCTGCTGTGGATTTTTGATTCTGAATATAATGTGCTGGTTCATCCACCTTAAGACAAGATGTCAGTAAAAGAACATACCAAATTAAGATTGATATTTCTAATGTCTAATGCGTTTTAGTGTCTCTTTAATACTCATTGTTTTCTTTTAAATCACAGTGTCGTTTTGTATTTATTAAAATGATAATAAAAGTATATTGTGAAATATGCATAAAGATTCGTGAGATATAAAATGTGGTTTTTTGTTCCTTGTAAAGTTTGGTGTCAGAGCCGAGCAGAGAGGCCATAAGGAGATGATAGGCTCGCTGTGCTCACAGCACGGTGAAGTGCCGGGTCAGTAGTCGTCCGAGTCACTCTTCGTCTTGCATGTTCACTGCACTGCTCTTCTCATGTCAAAACTAAAGAAACGTAAAACCTTTTCAACACAACGAGTAAAAATGCTCACAATTTGCTTGTCAAGACAATAGAGAAAACGTCTTTTTGGAAGGATGAAAGTGCTTTCCCTCTCTTTTGTTCATTTTCTCAATATTGTTGGTTCTTTGTAGCCTATCTGTGTGTTGCCTTTTTGCTATAAAAGAGGATTAAAAATGACAAAAAGAGAAAGTTGTTGGGTGAAGTCTTTCTGTACAGTCCGGGGTGAGGTGACACCCCGATCCAATGCCATTTCTACAGTACAGTACATTCTCCTTTTTTTTTCTGTAAACCACCTTCTGTATTCACTTGCATGTCCTTGTCCAAGAAGAGAGTGGATCAAGAAAATAAACTTTTACAGTCTCATTCCCATGTCCTGTAAGATAAATCCATGTTCTTTTATTTCCTTGTACCTGGATCAATATCAAATAAAATATTTTTGAAAAATGTAATACGACTTACATTCTGTTTGTCTTTGATAGACGGACTGGAGTTTTAAATTGAGCGCAAAATACTGAAAATACACGCTGAAATGTCCTTATTTGTATTTCAGCATTTCAAGGCTGCTTATAATGTGGCTACAACATTAAAAATGCAACTTTAGCCGTTTCTTCACAACATGCTCCTTCTCGTATCTCGATTGCGTTTGACTCAGCAACAACGTGTGTGTAGTTACTTTTGGCTGTGTGTGTGTGCCTTGAAGATGTTTGGCCCACTGTGTGTGTGTTTGAAGGAGTTCCTGACTCAGCTGTGCGTTTTATGTCAAACCAATCCCTGCCTTGATCCTTCCAGAGGAGCAGCTTCAAACACAAATCCAAATCTCCTAAATCACTGAGACAGGCTGCTTCTTTCAAGCTCTCTTACAGAGAGCTCGGGCTAAAATAACTTGTGAAAGAAGTGGTGAAAAATTGGATGTATAAAACCGGGAACAGCATCTGCATCTGCATTAATGTGCAAGTATAAACAAGCCTGCGAGAGCTCGTCCTGTATCGAATCTTCTCTCTACCTAAACATACTCCATAAACCATAGGATCAGTGTTTCCATGTATGTAGGAGGACTGATGCTGTGGTGGCAGCTTACATTACACACTTATACTCGGTTACAGCTGCACTCGTGGGTCACTGATTCCTACATTTACAAGTGAGCAATGAAGCGTCTAAGTATTTGGTTGAGTAATCAGTTCTGTTGTGGTTTTTCGACGTATCATGTATGAAGCAGCATGTTGGTGGACGACATGGAGCTGCTGAGTGTGTGGTTTGGACTCTGTTTACCTGAACCTCATTGTTTGCAAGTGTTTATAGCACAAACCTGCACACACATGAAGTCCTGAAGATATTGTGGGACACCATGAATGTCCTCTATGGGAAGAATGGTGAGAAGCTGTGGATCTCAGGTTTCTGCAGAGGCTGCATGTAAATTTGAACCATTTGAGCTCTGAAAATGATAAATCACAAGTTTACACAAATGTTCTCAGCCTCATCCAGGAACAAGAGGCGTAACTCCCATCTTGGGACATAACTGTGTACTATATATCACTGTCCACAAAAACTCAAATGTTTGAGGGAAAGATGAAAGAGCTGGCTGCTGTTGCTGCTGTTGCTGCAGGTCATTGCGTCTGTCCACAGTGCAGGTGGCAGAAGCAGCCAAATGCGGTTTTCAGCTGTTGCTCAATGAACCTGACTCTCCCAACCTGCACTGTCTTCAGTTTCCAAACTGAAATTCCAGTTGCCATTTTCAGAGTAATGATGAAGTCATCCAAGGTGTTGAGGAGTATCTGGAAGCTCAATATGCGAAGGTGAAACAAGTGTGTTGAAATTAAAGAAGACTATATTGAAAAGTAATACAAGAACCATCTTTCTCCTCTGATGTTTTCTGATGAGGCTGAGAACTTCTTGAAGTACCCTCATATGTTCTCCGCACCAACTCAGTGCATCAGGTGCTGCCACTTCTCTCATGTAATGAAGACTAGGTCTGGTAAGTCATCTGCATTCAACACAAGGACACCAAAAGGCCTTGTGGCGATGAGCCGTCTTCTCAGAGATTTGTGCAGCATCCTCGTCTACCTGGTTTATGACCAGATGTTTGCACAATCTACGATATAAAATGGTGACAGCATGGGCGTATGTAGATTTCATGGGGGATTTGTCCATCAAATGCTTAATTTTCTGCATCCTGATGAGTTTTTAAGCATCAGTGTGTGCTTATGGTGGAAATGTCTTTATTTATGAAAAGGATTTTTCTTTTTCTATTTTTTGAAAATGTGCTTCTTTCCTGTTCTTATTGGGATTGGGGGACTTGATCTAAACATTGAAGAGGGGCATTTCCCCTGCATCTGGAATACACTGTTTAGTGTATTTAACAAAAAGGGATTCCTGTATGCAGAGTGCAGTTATGTTCAGTTTGTGTTGTTGCTTGTTTTCCATGTTAGGGCAGCAGAGCTCTGTTACATCCATACATGGATTTAAAAATGTGTTATCTTTGTTGGAGTTTGTCAGATTTCCTTCTGAGGAACACTTTGGACAACTGACTGTGTTTGGGTTCTGTAACTTCCTGATCCATCCTGGGCTGTACCATTCCTCCAGGGTCACGGCCTCGAGGAGTGGACTTTACCATCCAGCAATTTAGGGGTCTGCTTCACTTGGAACAACTATACCAGTGTTACATTTACATATGAAATCGCGTGTCAGTTTGTAAGTTAGAACTTGCTCTGATCATGTGCATAAAAAAGCTCCTTTCGTCATTAAAAACTAAAATAAAATCTTCTTAACTCCCATCACCTTCAGCAGTGTGGTGGACTCTTCCATGAACGTCAATCAGATGCACCTGAGCTCAGTTCTGCAACATTTTTCTTGTTTCTGGTGTTTTCTTGCTAAATTTGACGCAAAAAAAAAAGTCACGAAATAGTTTCCAAAAGCGAAATGTTGTCATCCTGTAACTGACATTATGAGCTGAGTTGCATTTATGGACGAAACGTGTGAAAAACGGCGAGAGGAGTTGAGATGTTTCTGAAAACCACATATCGTGGATTATTAGCATCGCTGGGCGACAAGAAGACACTTCCTAAGGTAAGAAGGTTCACTTTGTTACTGAAAGCGCTCTTTAATGGCAGCTTTAATGAGGAGAACTGTTGCTTTGCTGGTTGGTGAGAGTTTGTTGGGCCTTTTACAGACTGCTGACAGTTGGAAGTGTTGTTGTTTTTTTTTTATGTCACTCAGACAGAGAAGTGGTTATTTCATCATGTGTGGACACGGTGGAGTGAAGTGTTGCCTATATTCAGCAGCAGCAGCACATGGCAGGTATCTCCAGACTGGATGTCTGGCACATTTATGTATCAGATGCTGAGTGCTGAGGATGAAAGAAGCAGGCCACCTGTGCATTTGTGGTTGTAGGAGACACATCCTTTGCTTTATTTCTGTTTCTCTAGTCCAAGTTGGTGCCTTGCAATAGCAGTGGTTCCATGTTGTCTTGGTAAAGTTGTGGAAAAAGTCTTGAATGCCTGCATGTCCTATTGT